CATCATTTTCGGCATATAGATACGTGAGACATTAACACTTAGGGCTGTTTGCCTTTCAAAAAAAGAAAAACATTTAAGGTTGTTTGGTGCAGCTTGTGAGAAGAATTTTTTGATTTAAAAAGATAAATTGTACCAAATATTAGCACTAGTGAAAAATGTTATAACTTTTAACAAGTTAATATTTTTTTTATTTTATTACAAATCTCAGAAAGACCGAATCTTAATGAGAATTCATTTAAATTTTAATGAAATTAATACATTATTTTTATTTTTTTTATAAAAATAACATTTCTAAAATAATCTTAATTTTTAAATAAAATTCTTATTAAAACATCTAGTTACACCAGATAGACGCTTATCCACCTAGGCATAATTCTACATGCACTCAGATTTTCAAATCAAAACAGAACACTAGCTAGATAGTTTACAAAAAATAAAAATAAAAAAATACACTCGACATCATTTTCGGCTATAGAGACATGAGACATTAGACAGATTGAAAACTGATAAGTGCGTTTGTGGAAGTAACTGCTTAGCCAGAGACTTCAATAGATTTTATCTCTGACTTCTTCATCTTAGGCACAGTATCGGTAAGCACCCCAGTCTCCATACAGGCTTTAACTTGATCCATCTTTGCATTTTCCGGTAGCCTGAACCTCCTCATGAACTTACAAGTACTCCTCTCAACTTTATGCCAAGTGTCATTCTTGTCTTCCACCTCTCTGCTTCTCTCTTCACTGATCTGCAGCACTCTGCCCTCTTCAACCTCGACTTTCACCTCTTATTTCTTCAGCCCGGGAAGATCAGCCTTGAATATGTGAGCTTCTGGGGTCTCTTTCCAGTCAATCCAAGCATTGGCAAATGCTGAGGTCTCGCGGGAAGAGGAAGGAACGTTGGCAATGGTGCTATATTGAACGGAAAGCCGCCTTCAAAAGGATCCCACATGTCCAGGGAGAAAGGGTCGAAGACATTGCTCCTTGCTCCGCAGAAGATGCTTGGAATCAGAGATATTGCTGTTTGTTTTAGTCGATTTGATTTACGATTCTAAGGTTTTGTAGATGTATGGTAATGGTGGAAGCCTCGATCTATTTCTTGATGAAGAAGAAAGAGGCAAAGGTGCTTCATATAAGAGAGGGGAATCAGGGGATCGATGACAATTTGTCGCTTCCAAACAAACGCATCTTCATCTTTGGCAGCCACATGGAGTACTTTTCTGAAAATCTCCTAGGAAGTAGGAACATCTTGAATGTGCTTCAACCGTTTCAACATGTAGCCGAACCCAACTAGAGCTCACTGGGCTGTTTAAAGTTTAAACGGCAGACTTCCCTAATTGCAAATTTCAATCGCAAATGTTTTGTGCAGTACAAGTAGGTCCCTCTCTCGTGGTTGTATTAATTTTAAAATTTAATATAATTTAAATTATAAAATTATAATATTTTATTTCAATTGTAAAAGCCCAAGACGTTGACGGTCTTTAGGGGAAGTACCTCTGGCTCATGTTAAAAAAAAATTAGAAAAATA